TGCCGTCCCCTAAGCCAGTGGCCTGATCATCTTGATCACCGTTGGGTTGCAGGGGAAAGAGTGTGGGGAGAGGGGAAAGTACATCTTAAGGCCCAGGCCCAGGAGAAACACACTTTTCTTCCCAATACACACCACTGGCAAAGACTTAATCACAATGAGAGACCTAAGTACCAGAGCATCTGGGACACAGAGTCGGCTGGAGGGAGGGGAAAATCAATGTTGGTGAGCAAAGAGCAGTCTCTAACCATGGACTGGAAGCTAAATGGGCAGGTCTCCTTATGAGTCAGATGGCCTTGAGCATAGGCCTGGAGGAGAACTGTCCATGTAGGGACTCTTCATCTTCTCCCCAGACACAGGCCAGGACATGGGTATTCCCCATCGAGAACAAGGGACCAGCAGACCAGCAGGACACACATTTGTTTGGTAGCTTTGCCAAAGCCCCACAGTCCTCTCTGCAATGATGCCCACCATCCCCCCCTGTGCCAGCGGGGCCAGAGGGGCACGCAGCACCGGGAACCTGGGAGGTGGAAGAGGGTGCCAGCCAGGGTTCTCTGAGCAACAGATTGACGATAGGATTCAGCGTGCAAGGGTTTCAGTAGGAGATATGCCCGTGGGAATGAAACAGAGAGGGAACCAGCAGATTACGAGGCAAGAGACCTGAGAGGAGAGCGGGAGAGGTGTCCATGGATGGCCCTGCAGCCTAAGGAAGCTCCTGCAGAGCCATCGGGAAAGCCTTGAGCCCAAGTCCACCAGCAAAGGACTCTCAGGCCTCCCAGGGACAGTTCTGCCTCAGTTTCCCAGCCATGCACACAGGCATTGGTGGGGATCAGCCTGTGGGGGGCCATGGGATGGATTTCAAAGCCAGAGCTGCTCTGCTCTGGCCAATTGCACCTCCTGTAACAGGAGGTCTGCAAGGCCCATTCTCAGGGCTACCACAGGGTGTGAGAGCAAGAAGCTGGGATTCGTATCCTTGAAAGAACACAGGCTTTGAAGTTTACAAAGAAATACTGGGTTGCAACCCAGCTCACCACTGACTTGGGCAAGAAACCTAAGCCCGTTGTAGTTTTGTCATCTGTACAAAGTCTGGGTCAGGTTATCGGGATGGAAGTGGAGTATCCATATGAGGTGCTCACTCAACGGCAGTCTTTATCTCCTCCTATTTTGCCAGAGCCCAGTGGACCTAGGGTCTACCCCAAATGTGCTCCCTAAGGGAGGATGTGCTAGTCCACGGCTGGCCCATTCCCTGGAATCACACCCAGCCCATCCTTCTCACCCCCACACCAAACGGGCCCAGAAATGGCACACAGGGAGCTGCAGAGGCCAAGCTGGCCTTCAAAACAGTCCAAGAAACACCCTGATAAATATCTCCCCCTGAGCCAAAGAGAAATATTTAGAAGAGGCTGCCAGCTGGAGCTGGGATGGCCACTTGTTACCTCCTCTGGGATCCAGCTTGTTTGAAAACTGGTCAGCCAGGCCAGGGTATGGGCTGAGGCCCAGACAGGGAGGGAAGGAAGGAGGCGTCGCCTTGGACAAGCCTGCAAATCCTGAGGGCTGTAAATCCAGACGGCTGGGCGGGCTCCCACCCACCCAGCTCCACAGCACTGCTCCCACAAGAGGCACCCTCACCTGGAGTTTCTCTCACCTCCGATGCCCATTGTCCAGAGCATTTCTCTCTCTTCTTCCCTCCCTCCTACTCTCTCTGGGTCTCTCTCTTTATTTCCTCTCTCCCCTCCTCTCTTCTCTTCTCTTCTCTTCTCTTCTCTTCTCTTCTCTCTCTCTCTCTCTCCTCTCTCTCTTTTTCTCTCTCTCATTTCTGTCCATCTTTTGACAATTTCTGGCTCCCAACTCCCTCTGTGTTCCCCCTCTCTCCATGCCTCCAAGTTTCCCATCTGTCCAAGGGCCTCAGTCCTCCCCATTTTCCTGGTTCTCATGTCCTCTTGCTCCCTCAGCCCATGTCTCTGCCTCTCTTTCCTCTTTTCCCACCATTTGGCCTCCAGGCCCAGCTCAGAGGCCTCTGTGGGGCTGTGTGCTGCCTTGGAATGCCTTCAAGCCACTGAGAGGAGCCGAGCCCTGTCAGTTCCATAGGGACCTAACAGGAGCCCCTCCCGCTCCCTCCTTCCTCCTCTGTGCAGGGAAGACATGCCCAGCAGAGAGCATCCCAACACAGGGCGTCCCAGCCTCCCCCTTCCTTCCCCGCCCCTCTGTCCATGTCACTGCCTCTTCCAAACATCTTTCTATAGCCAGCCCTGAGAACTAATTGCCAGTTGTAGGCAAAACAAAGAAACTGGGACAAATTGGACTCATTTTTATACCAGAGAGTGGGGAATTAGCTTGATTAAATGCGGAACATTGATTCAGTAGAATAATTTAAAGACAAACCAGGGAGTAGGCAAGAGGAGCATCAATCCTCCTCACTGCCTCCTTACTCATCTTTTTTTTTTCTTCTTCTTTATTTTATTGATTTTTTTTTTTTTTTTTTTTTTACAGAGAGGAAAAGAGAGGGATAAAGAGTTAGAAACAACTATGAGAGAGAGACATCAATCAGCTGCCTCCTGCACACCCCTCCACTGGGGATGTGCCCGCAACCAAGGTACATGCCCTTGACTGGACTCGAGCCTGGGACCTTCAGTCTGCAGACTGACGCTCTATCCACTGAGCCAAACCGGTCTCAGCCCCCCTTACTCACCTTAACCGGACAAACATTTCGGAAGCACTGACTGAGAGCTGAGCAGGGACTGGTGATGGGACGTGGTCCCCAAAACAACCCCGGATACTGGCCAGGGAGACCCTAGCAGGCCTTCGGCTGGGGAAGGAGGCTTCCCAACAGGAATTGGGGTGCGGTGGTGCCCACAGGGGAGACGCCCAAGCCAGGATCTCCGGCCCACAGGCTGTGACAGCCACTGGGAAGGTTGGGGGCACTAGCCCCTGAATCCTGAAAACAGGAACTACTGCTAAAGCTATAAGATAAAAGGGGGTGGGGACAAGTTGAGAGAAGGGAAGGGGGATGAGGGGATTCAGAGTTCAGCAACCCTCCTCCCACCTGAAGTGCTCAAACTGGCCTCACCATGGCAGCTGCCGGACCTCAGAATGAAAGCCTCACTCACAGCTGCCTCCCAGGCTGAGGCCTTCTGTCAGGAGTCCTCCCCGCAGTGGAACTGGCTGCCACTGCGGACTACAATGGCCCGTGTGTTCCCTGGGGCCAGGACAGCGGCACAGACCCCAGGTCCCTCTGAGCCAGCGAGGAGGACATTCAGGCCCCGTGGGTCCTATTTTTGTTTCATTTTTTTTCTTTTTTAATAAAAGAGATCTAATTGTCCGCCTTAGCTAGTTTGGCTCAGTGGATAAAGAATCGGACTGTGGACTGAAGGGTCCCAGGTTCAATTCCACTCAAGGGCACCCAGGTTGTGGCTCAGTCCCCAGTGTAGGGCCTGCAGGAGGCAGCCAATCAATGATTCCCTCTCATCACTGATGTTTCTCTCTCTCTCCCCCCCATCTCCCTTCCACTCCAAAATCAATGCAAATATATTTTTAAAAGATCTAATTTGCCTTATTTAACAATTCATGAATGGGGTAGCATCCCATCTAGTACATAAAAAGCTGCTTCTATTTTTGTTTCTTTGTTTCATTTCCTCTGCTTTCTAGTTTTCTGCAGACCCAGGGCCTGGCCTACAAGAGGTGCGGCGTGAAGAGTAAAAAAATCGGTTCAGCCAAAACCAGTTTGGCTCAGTGGATAGAGTGTCAGTCTGAGGACTGAAAGGTCCCAGGTTCCATTCCAGTCAAGGGCATATACCTTGGTTGCAGGCACATCCCCAGTAGGGGGTATGCAAGAGGCAGCTGATCGATGATTCTTTCTCATCGATGTTTCTAACTCTCTATCCCTCCCTCTTTCTCTCTGTAAAAAATAAATTAAAAATACATATTAAATAATAATAATAATAATAAAAAGTTCAGCCCCCACCACTAGAGGGCACCCAAGCACAGAAACAGGGAAACCTGGAGAAAGAAGTAGGAAAAGCACCCAGCCTCCCACCTTGGAATGATGGGTCCACTCTGAAGTAACGGCGGAGGGGTGGGACGGCAGGGCTCCAAGTGCGGATCCTTCCCTCCTCCACCGAATGTCGTTTACTACCCCACCGCCACCGCTGCCCCGTGGGCCTGAAACACGGCCAGCCCCGAGGGCTTAGGGCGGAGACGGGTGCCGGGCAGCTGCTGGAAAGACTGGAAAGAGGCTCTGGTGATGGTAGGAGCCCTGAACCCAGAGTCCGGGGAGCTGGCTGCGACTCCAGCTACTCTCCACGTGACCTTTCCTTCGCCGCCTGCGAGGGTTTGTTTTCCATCTGTAAACAAAGCGGGTGGGGAGACGCGGTGGTACCCAAGCGCCCTTCAGGCTCTGACCTCAGACCTGCCCCACCCGCCTCTCGGGATCTCAGAGACGGCATGGTGTAGGGGCTGCACACAACCGCTGTTTGCTCCCGCGCAGGGTCCCGGGAGGGGGCACCCACTTTCGCCCCGTCGAGCCCCACTACCCACCCAAATACCCTGCCCGGGTCTTCCACTGCTGGCTCAGGCATCTCCCCACCCGCCGCCAGGAAAGGGCACGGAGTGCGTGGGGTCCTCCGGGGTGGGGAGAGGGCGATGACCCTGACCCCAGCCTCCCGGAGAAGCTCCCTCTCCATCCTCACTGCGCCCACTTTCCTCCCCAGCAGCTTCGGCTCCAACCCGGCCGCCGGACCCCCCACCCCCAACCCCACCCTTGGCGCTGGCGAGCCGAACAGGGAGGCAGGGCCGCTCCCGGCCGGGTGCGGGTCCACCTGGGGGGCGGGGGGAAGGAGGGAGGCGAGCCATGGACCGGACAGGGGGACGAGGCCTCGTTCCCCTAAGCGACGCTTGTGGAGTCCCCTTCACTGGGGGGATCCCCCCTCCCTCCCTGCACCCCACCTTCCCAGTCCTGTGAGCCTGGGCCCTGAAGGTTCAAGAAAGTCAAGAACCTGGGAGAGATGCACTGTGCAAATATATGGACTTTATTCGTCTCCGTTCGGGAGCCTCACAGACATATCCAGGTAAAAAGAAGACCGTTCAGTGAATGCCGCCAGCCATCGCCATCGCAATGCAAAAATAAATATCCGTCCTCCGGCCACGGCGGCGGCCGCGCTGCACCCCGAGTCCCCGCGGTTATAAAAGTGTGCAGCGAGCGGAGGGGGCGTGAGTGGGAGCCGGTGCGCGGGGGGCAGGCGTGGAGCGGGGAGCGCAGTGGGAGCTGCAGCCCCTCGGCGCGGGGCGCGGGGCGGCTCTCCCTCCGGGGAGCTCCCGCACACCCTCACTCACAGCAGAGTCCGCGCTGGGCAGAGTTTAAAAATAAACATGGGCACGGGCGGAGAAGCGGCCCCCTTCCGGGCGCCCCCGGCGCGCTCGGACCCGGGATGCGCGCAGCCCGAGGCGCACCGGGCAGTTCTGTTTGGCGGGAGTCCCAGCGCGAGCTCGCGGGGGGCGGTGGTCCCGGATCCGGGGGGATCCCCAGGGGTTCCCAGGGCGCGGGCCCTCCCGGGGTTCGCACGCTGGTCCCCGGCGGACCCCGGAGGCGGCGGCCTCACAGGGCCGAGTCGGAGTCGCTGGAGTCCAGGCTGTTCCTCAGTTTGCAGCTGCCGAGCTGCTCGCGCTGCAGCGACAGGCTCTGCGTGCTGCGGCGCAGGCACTCCAGGCTCTGCAGGAAGGACTTCTTGGCCTTCTCCTCCTCCATGGGCGACACCCCCTCCTCTTCCACCTCCTGGATCTCGTCGAAGGTCACCGGCTGCGTCTTGAAGCGGGACTGGCGCGGCCGCCGCAGCCGGCCCTTGCCCTTGGGCAGCTTGGCGGGCCGCACGGGCTGCGGGAACGCGTCGGCCAGGCACACGAAGTGGGGCATCACCGCCTGGTAGCTGGAGCAGATGCCCATCAGCTCGCCGGGCTTGGCGGCCGCCATGGCGCTGCCGGCGGCGTCCTCGGGGCCCGGCGGCGGCGGCGGGGCGGCGGCGGGGCTGTCGGGGAGCGGCCGCTGCGCCGCCGGGGCCCCCCGGGAGGCAGCCGCCTGGGGCTCGCCGGGCGGCGGATCCAAATCTGCTGCGGGGCGGCGGCGGCCCTGGCGGGCCCGGGGCGGCGCGGCTCGGGAGGGCGGGCGAGGGCCCGTCGGGGACACGCGGCGCGGGGGGCGCCGCTGCTCCGCCGCTGCGATCCGAGGCGCCGGCCGCTTCCGCGCGTCTGCCCCGCGGCGTCCGCCGCCGCTTATATAGCGGCTCCTGCCCACACGGCCGGCGCGGATGACAGCCGATGCCATTTACAGCGTGCGCGCCCCGCGCCCTCCGCCTGGCGCCGCCCGCCGCGCTGAGGAAGGAACAGCCCCTTCCCGGAGCCCCCCGCCCCCTCCCGGCCGCTCCGGGAGGCGGGCCCCGCCCGCGGCGGTGCCGGAGCCTCGGGGCGGCCCGGAGCGGGGGTCCCGGGGTGTTACTATGGGTGCTGGGACCCCCAAGTCTGTAGGTCCCCCTTCCCGGCGCTCGATCTCAGAGGCTCACACTCAGGGCGCCGGCTGTCCTGCCGCGTGGTCTGCGCGGGGCAGTGGCAGCTCCCAGCTGTCCTCACGGCGGGCAGAGCCAGGGCACGGCTCCCCAGAACTGAGTTTCTTCTCTGGATCCTTGTTCTTCTCCCCTCACTACAGTTTCTCCCCACCACCACCACCACACACACACAGGCATGCTTGAATACAGTCACAACCTATTATTCCATTATTCCATTCTGCTTCTTCTGTTGCCTCTATGTCTTCTCCATGTTTATCCCCTCATTACCCCACCCTCTTCAAGTCCCTCGGGCAGCCCCCTTCATGCTTAGAAGAATGACACTTGGATATGCCACTAACAACAACAACAACACAACAACAACTACCTTCTGGAGAGTTGTACTCCAAGCCAGCCAGAGAGCTTTGGGTTAGCATGCGGTGTTACCCTATTTGATCTTCATAACGGTGAGGTAATCGGTATTCTCCCAATTTTACACATGAGGTATGGCAGGCACAGAGAGGATAAGTAACTGAGGGGCCCAGTGGGGCCAACTCCAGAGTGCACGATCTGTAGCAGCCAGCCGAGGGTGAGACCCCAGTGCCCCTGGGCTTCTGAGACAGGTCCCCTGTCCGATGTCCCAACTCCCAGCGCAAACCAATAGTGTCTTGCAGAGCTGTGGGCCTGTGTGCCAGAGCAGTGCCCCCTACCGGCTCCCAGAAAGGAAACTGGAAACCCAGGGAACCAATGGGATTGGGCCTCTATTCCTTCCGTAGCCACTCAACAAAGATGTATTGAGAACCTACTGTGTGCTCGCTCAGGAATGTGCTGCCCTCTGGAAGTTGTATTGGGGGGCAGGGAGGGTGGTGGTGGAGCAGGGACACAGACAATAAATGGGAAACAAGAACACGCACTGGGGGTGGGGTGATGGGATGCAGATCCAGCCTGGGCGGAGGGTAGCCAGGAAGGCTTCTCAGAGTGGGTGACACCCGAAGGCCCGCAGGACAACAATATCAGTACCAGGGACTTAGTGTGTGCCCTGCTCTGGAGTACCTTTGATGCATGAACTCATCTAGTGTGTTAACTACTGCACTTATCCTCTCAGCAACCCTGGGTGACAAGTACTTGTAGTGTCGCCATTGACAGACAGGAAAACCAAGGCACAGAGAGGCTAAGGCCCTTGCCCCAGGCCACAGAGCTAGTAACCAGCAGAGCTGAAGTTCCCACTTGGCTCCTAAGCCACTTCGTGTCCACTGCACTGCGTCCATGTGTCCGGTGGAGAACAAAGAAGGACCCAGTGTGTGCCCACTTTTTTGGGGGGGAGGGGGAGCATTGGGGCAGAGGGAACCAACCCTAGTGCAAAGGCCCCATGGCAGGAAAGAGCTGGGCTTCTCCGGGAACTTCAGGAAGACCGCGGAGGGCTGAAGTATTTTATTCTAGGGGCTGTGGTGAGGCATGGGGTTTTGAGCAGGGGCGCTGCACAGTGTCTGGTTTTAAGAGCTCACTGTGGCTGCCATATGGAGAGCAGAGTGGAAAGGGACTGGGGGGAGGGGGGAGGGGTAGAAGCAGGAAGTGTGCTGAGAAGCTCCACCCTCCTCCCTCTACCCCCCTTTTCTTCCTATCCTGCTTAACTACTATCTAAAAGGCTTCTCATCCGCTTGTTCCCATCACTTGTCTGCCTTCCCACTGGCCTACAGTTAGCAGCCACTGCCTTTCCCAGCAGGAGTCCGGGGGCCTGCGGAGTGTGCCACTACCACCCTGCTCCCCCAGCGCCTGGTTCCACCACAGCTTCCTTTCCAACCCATGCAGCTCCTCTGGACCCCAAACTCCCAGGCTGGGGACTGGGGTACCATAGGCTAGCGGTCGCCAACTGGTGGCCCATGGGGTCTGAAAGGTTGGCGACCGCTGCCCTAGGCCACTCCTGTCAGCTTCCCTGTCCAGATGCCTGGTCCCACTGGTCCCACTGCTGACCCTTCCCATCCATGGCTTCTCCCCCTCAGGATGTCTCATGGACCAGCCCCATACTTAGTAGCCTTTTCACACTGTTCTGTGCCCTCTGGAAGGCTGCCATCGGGTTAGAACCCAGACCGGATTCTAACCCTGCTCTGCCACAGGCTCCTTCTGTGACTCGGGACAGGTCCTGCTCTCTGAGACTCAGTTTCTGCTCCTCAGAGCACAAGTAATGCCCCGGGAGCCGGCGATCGCCGTATGGAAAGCTCCTGGCGTAGTGCCAGCATGTCTTGGGCATGAGGCACACCGTCCTTTTGTTTTCATTGTCTCATACCCATCCTGCCCAGCCCCCACGTGGCTGAGATGCCCAGGGAAAGTGCTCCAGAGGGCATCTGGGCTCTGGTGCTTAGCCCTCTGCCCGACTCAGTGTCAGGGCGGCAGCCAGACAGAGCAATGTCTCCAGGCATGGGATTTCCGGGGAACCAGTGCCCAGAGGCGGTCCTAGGGGGCTTCAGGGAATACCAGCCTCTTTCAACAGACCCCCCTCCCATGTGACAGGGGGAATGGGCAGATCTGGGAAGGCCCACAGCCTCCCCAAGTATCGGATTCTGTTGACCTCTGGCCTTGTTGATTCACAGGGTCAGTGCTGGGTTTTCCAGGACAGGCTAAGCGACCTTTCTTGGTCACCTTGGGGCAGGGGGTGGCTATTAAAGGGGATGCAGGACAGTCCCTCTTCTCACCAGGCCCGTGTCCCTGGGACAACCAAGGAGGGACACAGAAATGCCAGCTGTTGAGCACCTATGTGCCTGGCACTGTGCCAGTGATGCTTGGCATGTGCCTCACCTGACCATCCTCATGGCATCCTCGGGGGGGTAGCATCAGCTGTTTTAGAAATGAGGACTCGGGGTGCTCTGTAGCCCACCAGGGTCCCCCTCAGTGCCAGTGCTGATGATCACAGCTGTCTGCCTGACCCTGACACCTATGCTCTGTGCCCGGACCACCCGTCTCGCCATCCCTCTGAAGTGAGGGAAACAACTGGGACGAGATAGAGGTCAGACCCCCAGGTTCCATCACCCGCATGCACTGTGGCCTCGACCCAAGTGCTTCCCATCTCTGAGCCTCAGTCTCCTCACCTGTGAAGTAAGGAGACCAGACTCTGATTTACTGGGGGCCCCTCCACTCTGACATTCTAGAATGCTCAGAAGGATGCAGGGATGAGGGGACCCATTCACAGGAAATAGATGCTTCCTCTTGGGCCGGAGAGTGGCAAGCAGCCTGGCGGAGGCTGCGGGGGAGCCTCGCCTCCGTGGAGGGGCTGCTGGGGGAGCAGATGGGGCAGGAAGATGGCAGCTGGCCAGGGAGGCCTGTGCCTCCACCTCCTCCACCATCCCCACCCACACTTTGGCTTTTGGGCAGAGCCAGGGTTTAAAAAAAGCAACTCCAGTTCTTCTGCTATCAGCAGGCTTTGTTTCCAAGGGAGCCTGCGGGGTACACGCCTGGTGGGCGGGAGCAGGGATGCCCAGTCCATCCGGGATGCAGATGGGCAGCCACAGAGCCAGGTGGGAGAGCCCTCGGGCAGTGCTCCTTTGCTTTTCTGGGAGACTTAAGGGGGGCAGGGAGAGGAGAGGGGAACAAGCGGGTTAGGCCCTTTCCTATGGCTGCTCTGCCACCCTGGCCCTGACCAACTGCCAGCTAGACACCTTGGTCAGCTCCTGTCCCCTCACACTCTCCCAGAAGCCTCTCCAGAGGGCTGCCAGGCCTCCGAGTGCTGAGTGAGGTGGTGGTTACTCTAGGCCTTGCTGTTCCGGTCAGTTTGCACACCTGTGCATTCAGGTGTGGGGGGTGGGCTGAGGGGCGGTGAACGGTGGTTGGCAAACAAGGCCCATGGCAGGCAAGCGACAAGGCCTGTCCAGTGTCCTGCCTCTGGCTCCACCCTCACCCCCGCAGGAGCCCAGCCCAGCCCAGCCCTCGGCGGGCTTTCCTCACCAAGCCAGTGATTTCAGCGTCCCACCAACTGCTTCTGTCTCACTCAGAATTACCACTTCGTCTGGTATGATTGTGAGCAAAGTGTTTTGATAATTTTGCTGGAAGGTTGCCATGACAATCTCCAGCGAGCTCCAAGAGGGGGTGTCAGTGTGTGCTCGGGAGGTAGACAGAGGAAGAGAGTCCGAGAGACTCAGGCAGGGAGAGACTGAGGAAGGGAGGGGATCAGGGAGAACCCCAGTGACAGTTTCAAGTCAGACCTTCAGCCTTCATGGCCCCCATCCTGAAGGGAGGGGATGGGGGGCCATTGATGCCGCAATGAGCTCATGGTCTAATCTCGGCCTCACTGTAGGCCCTGTAATGGGACACCAGCTCGGGAGGGCAAGCTGCCATAGCTGCCATTCCCAGGATGAGCCCCAGGAACACCAGAATGGAGTGGGGGCAGGAGGGTTCCTGGGGACTCTGAGGGAGCCAGAGCCCAGGGGAACCTCCTAAGAATCACCCCAGCCCATGGGCCTGGCTATGCTGCTGGGAATACCAGGAGCACATTTCCCAGCCATGACCTCTTCCTGGCACAGCGTCAGCAGCCTGGGTCTGTGCTCAGTCCTCCCTGCACGCTTTCTTGCAAACCGAAGGGTCTCTCTCCTGGGATGACCGGTCTGAGAATCATTAAGGACAAGGCTAGAACCCTGCACAGTCTGTGGCCCTAGAGCTTTGCAAAATAGTTCCCCCTCTATGACTTCAGCAAAGCAGGACTCTGCTGTCTTTTGAGATGAGGACAGAAAGGCCCAGAGAGGGGAAGGAACGAGATCAAGGTCACACAGCAAGGCAGGGGCAGAGTAAAGAGGAGACCCAGTCCCGGACTCTCCCCCAGCCTCACCGCCCTCGGGGA